TGTCTGTATGCACGTTGTATTTCTGTGCACGACTTCTGCTCTGCCCAGCAGCTCCAGGGGCTCTGTCTTGCCTAGAACTGGCTGCACTTTTAGTCATAGCTTTGTCATGCTGTTTTCAAACAAATCCAACAAATCAAACTGTTATGTGTAAAGAGAGATTTCCTTGAAAACCATTTGCAAATGCTGTTCTTCTCCTGAGATCTGTTGCTTTCTATTTCATCCTCAACAAATAAAAAAGGAAGAAATAATTGCACAGGAAACATTTCTCTTTTTCTGTTTATTAATGTTTTATTTACCTTTTTCCTGTATTTAAGGGATGAATTGCTTGACACAGTGACAGACAACGCAGGGTCCAGATGCTGCCAGCAGCTTCTAGTTTGGATGTTGAGGTCTCAGGTGTTCTGAAAAATCCCTTTGGAAAAGTTACTTTTTCATTAAAGTTCTCCCGTCTGCCCAACTGCCCTCTCCCTGTCTCTTGGCCCATGTTTGGGACATGGGTGCAGGATGCCCAAATGCTTTTATCACAAGTCTGGTCAAAGATATTAGAGAAGCTTTCTGCCCATTCCTTCCAGATACTGGGATTGCTGCTCCTTAGTGCTCCTGAAATTGCAGTGAGAGGAGAAATGTGGTGCACCGGGCAGATGTTGTGAGGTACCTCAAAGAGGTGGCTCGAGTTTCTTGTCTCATCAGGCAAACCCAAGAGCTTCCTTTGCAGTCATCACTGACCCTTCCTTATCCATGTGCTGCCACACTGCTGCCCTCACTTTCCGTGCAAAAGTGGGACGGTGAAATGCAGTTGGCAGATGGGGAAATGCTGCCTTCAGTTCTGCAGCCCACCGAGGAGGAGATGGAGCTCACATTGTGACTGCCATGTTCTGTGTTCTCACTCTGTGCCTGTGTACATCTCAGAGTAACAAACCTGTGTGTAAAGCAGGATGGCACAACAGGGGGTGAGCAGCTGTTTCATGCTGCAGTCAGCAGGGACATCTTGGTGGGGCTGGCTCTATTAGATCTACCTGTGTGAGACTAGGAATGGGCTGGCTTGCTGTCATATGTGAACAAGGCTTCCAATATCCACCAAAGCCAAAATGGACACATGGTGCTTACACAGAAGCTGCTCTTTTCCCTCAGAGGTCTCTCCCTGCAGCACAGTTATTGCCGTTGCACGTCCGGCTGTTAACTCTTACCGGAAAATTTTCCAAGCCTGCTCTTCAGTGGCTGCTTTATTGATTCTGTTTGCTTATCCTGGGACTTTCAACTGGTTGTTAGCTTCATTGAGACAAACTGGGTAGGAAATGACAGACTTTTGGTGTACGCAGTGCATTTTCCTGCTCGGTTTCTTTCCAGGTTGAGCACTACATCTGAAACACGTGTTTTGTTTCGGTAGGGTTGTGCTTTGGTACCAGTTTCCTTCTTTTGTGCCTTTATTTTTTAGTGTCACCATCCGCTTTGTTTGTATGAGAGCAAGTAGACCAGTGGACAGTCACTGGCAGAGCAGGAGGCAGAGTTGTCATTGCCCTCCGTCCTGTGGAACACTCATGGACAAAGATAGGAGTGTGGGAGAACTATCAGCTCCCTGCTAGTCAGCCTCTGGCAGTTGTTCTACCCCAATGGATAGGACAGCACAAGCCAGATCTCCTTCATGCTGTGTGGTGACAGTGAAGTCAGCAGCCCAGAAATCTGTGGAACCTTTGTCCTGGGAGAATCATAGCCATTAAGGTTGGAAAGGACAGAACTTAGCTGGATATGGCTTGTTTAAAAGCTCTGCTTTGAGCATGAATTTAGAGCAAACAACCTCTAAGGGTCCCTTCCAATGTATGTTCCTCCATGGTTACACAGCGTCCCTTCAAAAAACAACTAAAAAGGGTGTTGAACATGCAACTTATTTCCTGTTTTACCTACCAAGATCCTAAACTGGTTGAGATTGACTGTGGATCTTCCCTTAGACTTGGATGACGTTTAAGGAAGAATGTGGTACCCACTGCACTGATGTCCTTCCACACATCTTGCTTCCTTTGGACAGCCAACATTTGCACTTCTGCTGTTCTGTCCCGTCCTTTTCCCTTTCAGTGTGGGATGGTTTGCAGCACCCCAATACTCCATGGAGCTCCTGAGAGCAGAATGGCACTGGTAGGTGGTTTTGGGATGAGTGATGAATCCTCTGAGGTGGACTGAACCCAGCACCCTGTGTGCAGAGGGGCAGGCAGTCTTCCCAACTCCTTTGCAGGGTCAGTTCTCTTAAGTCATGGCATCTTTTTCTTCACATACTGCTTCTTGTGATTTTTGAATTCAGAGTTTTCATTTCCTCTGCACATCACTCTGGAAACGCAGTGGTACTTTACCTTAAAGCAAACGAGCTGGCAGTCCCTAGAGGAGACATACTGGACAAGTGAGCTCACCTGCACTGCCACCACCAACCTGCATGGCTCAGCCTCATGGCTGCACCACCACTGCTGAGCTGCACAGCTCAGTCCCACAGCTTGCCCAGAGGCATTGTATTCTGCCCCAGTGCTGCTATTCTGGGATGGAGCACTTCTCCCAGGGCCCACTGCTGCAGTGTTGCTCTGAACTGTTCACTCCTCTCAAACCTTCCACCCAAACCTCCACCTCTGAGTGTAGCAGCAGTGAGCATCCTGGTGGCATGCTGTCAGACCCGCACTGAGAGGAGGTATGCACCATTCCGCATGAAGGGCCCCCACTCCCATCTCCACAGTGCAGGCAGGCATGTGTGTGTGTGTGTGAGCCCCCGGGTGAATGATTACATGATTCTTTGGGGTTTTTTTTGTTTTGTTTTGTTTTTTTTTTTTAATGTAGAGCTTGGGCTGGTTGGCAGTGCAGTTGGAAAGTAATGCTGATGGGCCTGGAACACCTGGTGGAACCCATGAGGCATTCGTGCAGCATTCATTCATCCAGTTTAGTTCACCCACAGCCACGGCAATTGCCTGCCTGTACACTGTGATGATGATAGCAGGGCCTGAGCCTTTCTCTCCCATCCCTCCTTTCCCTCCACCACTCACTTGTTTCTCTCTCTCATTTGCTATTCCCTCTCTGCCCCCCGAACCCCCCTCTACCCTCAGCCTCTTTTTGCAGGGCTGATGGATATGCAGAGTATGTTAAGAAGCACACGGTACTGTCACCAAGCTGATGGTGCTCAGTGACTCCTCCAGCTCCTGGCTGGTGTGTGCTGCAGGAGCCTGACACCCTGACCACTGAGGCATAAAAAACAGAGAATTGGAAGCTTCAGCCTGACAGGCACCAGCACATCCCCAGAGAGGGTCCTTATGTGTGTGCGAGAAGGGAAGGGGCTAGCAGAGGTTCTGAGGGGAGGAGAGTGAGGCAGGAGAGAATGGAACAATGAGATGTCAGCCTGCTTCCATCTGCAGCACGGCTGCGTGTTCGGAGGCGTTGCTGCCTCCAAAGCAGCACGCGTGGCGTAGGATGGGAGGGAGTGCTGTGACCCATTGAAACGCCTGGGGCACACGGCGCTGTGCTGGCAGGGATGTGCAGTACTGTCTCTGGTGGGCGCGGGTCATGCAGGGTGCAGGTCCGGATGTGTCACGGGGAGCCTCCGCTGTTTGCAGAGGAACAAACGGGGGGAGCGGGCAGGGCAGCGGGCACGCTCTGCTCCACCTCTGCTTCTCGTGCAAGGGCTGCGCAGCAGGGAGCGCGCACTGTCCTCTCCACCTCGCTCCTCTGCCTGTACACCGCACGGCCTCCAGCAAGCACAGATGCTGCTTCATGCCAGCAGCCAAATGGTGCTCTTCTGGCAGCGCACGGCTCAGGACGTTTGTGATACCTGAATGATCACCGCAGCATTAATGCCTCTCTCCTGGGGTCAGCAAATGAGCCTCTTGGCAGACCTGTCCTGAGTGAGAGGCTGCTTTCTGGGCTGGGATGAGGCGATGGCTCCAGGTCAGCTGGATGGCTGTGCCAGGTGGTGGCAGGTGGTGCTATGGGGTGCTGACCCAGCAGAGCTGCATAGAGATGTGTGTTGTGGGTCTGCCCCTTGGCTGAGGCAGGAGACTTCCCCAGTATGAGATGTGAGCCATTCTGTGTCTGAGGACTTAAATACATGAAGGCTACAGCCAGCATCTTCTCTCTTCAACCTGCCAGCCTTCTCTGCCACATTGCCGTAGGAAAATAGTTCTTTCTTCATCGGCGCTGTTTAGTGTGTATATGCTTGTGAACCTGAGCAGGAGAAAGAGATGTGGAAGAAAGATAGGAGAACAAAGAAACTGCCATTCATGGGAGATGTTCCAGTGAAACAACAGTGACGTTTCTGTTTACATAGCAGTGGAACCTATCCAAGGTCAGAGCTGTGTTATGCATGGTGCTGCCCTGAAGAGATTGCAGCTCAGGTATGAAACAGGGAGATGACATGTGAAGAGAAAAGATGGAGAAAGTAGCTTGTGAGGAGACAAATAGCAACAACTCTTTGAGTCTTAACTCTGCCTTTGTCTGGAGGGTTTCAAAAACTCCTGAAACTGATGCAAGCATCCCTCTTCCTTTGTTAAAGTGATCAGTGGAAGTCCATGGGTCCAGGCCCATGTTCTGCTGGAGAGCCAAGAATGGTGTTCGCTACCTAGAAGATCGGCTGTTTTATCTTCTGTTAACAGGGAGACTGGCTGAGCAGCTCCGTCCCAGCTGCCCTGAGTGTTGCAGGGATGTGGAGGCAGTGGCCAGGCCTTTTAGGTCGGTCTCGGATTCCTCAACTCCTGCAAGCCATCTTGTTCCTGCAGCACAGGCTGCACGAGGAAATCCCACTAACTCAGCAGGGGTGAGCTGGACTGCAAAAGGACACACAGAAGATGACTGTACTCATTTAATAATGGGCGGTCCAGACGGCCCTTCTACAGACAGGGTGGTCGGCAGAGCTTTTGCGAAAGCTTTCACTGGAATACAACAGATGCTGAACTTGTGTGTTTTTCCCTGCACATGTGACTGTAGTCTTATATCAAATGACCTTTATTTTGTCTTTTTACTGTTTCCCTTTAATTTAGGGAGTGAGTTTTCTGGGAGCCCATACAGCCACCCACAGTACTCAACTTACAACGACTCCTGGAGGTTTCCCAATCCCGGACTTCTGGGTAAGTTGCTGCCCCCACTTTGGGGCTGTGCTCCTACCTGTACTCGTTTATAAGCCAGTGGCAATTACCAATCACCAGGATAAGCAGGATGTGTGTCCTGGTGCTGCCTTGTCTCCCAGTGCTCTTCACTGATGAGTGGCTATGGATCTCCGCTGGGTACAGCAGACCTCCTAGTTCCCTTCACCAGCAGGAAGCCTGCTGCTAAACGCCTTTGTCTTCCCATTTCTGCCTCATGGAATCATTTGGCAGACACAAGGCATTGCTGGAAGACAGAATGCCCATTTCTTGAAGAGGAGGAATCCTATTCCTACAAAACTGGCGTCATTTTATTGAGAGTGCCTTCTTCAGGGAGATGCTGTGTCTTGTCACTGAATGTTAGCCCCACTACCACAGTGGTGCTGTCTCCTTGCTGGTTCCAGCCATTTACATTTCTCCCAGACCTCATGTTACACTTGCTCTTCAGCTGTGGGTTTGCAGTGCCTGTTGTGCTTGTGCAGTCTCTCAGATGTCTGCATGGGCTCTCACAAACAGTAGGGAGCAGGAGCCCCACAGCTCACGCAGGATCATGGCCCTCATGTGAAGCATAAACACAATCCATTTTACACCACTGTCAAAAGATGGCCCACTTTGACCTTGTATACATGTAGAATGCAGTAATTAGAATTTTTCCCTGCATAATTTGCATGGATGAGGTAAGTAAAATACCAATTAATTGTCATCTTTCAACAGAGGAATAGCGTGCCTTGGAGATTTCCAGATTTATGGATGACAGGGCTGTTGTATGTGACCTCCAGCAGAGAAATAATTTTGAATTTTTGTCTTTTTTTTTCCCTCCCCATCCACTTTCTTTGTTTTAAGTAATTGAGTCCCCATGTAATTGAGCCACCCAGGCTGTATTCATCATGGTTCTTGTCCTTAAACAAATCCTTCGGGAGCAATAGACAGCCTCTGCCTCTCATGCCATGGTGCTGGTAAGCTACTGCTATTTTCTGTGCCACATTTAAGGGTTTGTTAGTGCTTCCATCATAAATCAGAGAACAGATCTTCAGCTAATATCAATGGGCACGGCTGTACAAAGCCAGAGGAGCCCTGGTGCTTAAACCTGCAGTTGCCATGGCCGCAGCCAGGACTGCCTGCAAGAGTTTGGTTGGGCTGTGTGGAAGAAGATGCTTTAACCAGTCTGAAGAGTGCACACAGTGATTTCTTAATTGCTGTTTTTGTACCTCCTTTGGAATCAAATCAGATATTTCAAACTCCTGCTGCTGAAGGGAAGACAAAGCGAGCTCTGAAGCACCTGGAGACAGGCCTCAGAAGACAGGCTTTGCATGTTTCTTTCACTTCCCCTGCAAATCTGTGAAGAAACCAGTGGGATATTCAGAATAAATGCAGACCTGACCTGAGGTCCATCCTCCTGCATAACAAGAGTGGCTTTTGGCAAGGCTGGGTTGCAAACTCATGCCTGCAGACTTCCACTGGTGCAGGAAAGGACTTGCTTTGGTGTCCTTGTTCCATTTTTGGATGATAATTTCTGGGGGCAAATTCTTTCTCTTTGACTCTGTGAGCAGAACACAAGTTTGTGTACAGCTGGTACAAATGCATTCTGCCCACAGCAAAGGGAGTGGACTGAAAGGCTCAGTACGCGGACCTGTGAGAGTTGGTGCCACAGAATGGAGAGTCCCTTCCATCAGTTTAGATCAGTGCCCCAGCAATGTCCCCTCCTCATCTCTTGCCTGCCTCCATGTGCTGGCTTTGGGAGCTTGGAGAGAGTCCTGGTACTGTGCCAGCAGTGCTCAGTGAGAGACAAGGCATTGCTGGGGTCCCAGAGCTATGCTAGCTGTGAGCACAGAGCACAACCTCGCAGGGGCAGCTAGGGAAGATGATCTCCATCCTAGCCATGTCCATTGCATTGGAACAACCAGCAGGTGTCCTGAGCCTTGCAGGGAGCCCAGCCACACACAGCTCTGCCTGTATCCTTGTAGTATTGGGCACTCCACACGTGGCCAGGTCTCAGTTGCTCACTGGTAACTCTGGACAAGGAGGAGCCTTGTTGCAGAGCCGTGTTGCAGACCTTGCTGCAGAGCCTCAGGTGCCTGCTCTACCCCACCGTGCACAGCCAGAAGACTCATGAGATGTGCCTGAGCACCTGCACTGGAGAGGAGGTTAATGTAAGCTGTATCCACGCTGCTTCCACACTTCTCAGTATACGTGAGTACATTTAATAATTCTCTCTGGAGAGCAAGCTCTGGCAGTATCAACATCAAAGCAGAAACCCTGACAAAATTAATCTGTAGTAGTACACAGACTGACACAGTTTGTTTTACTAAGTCCCCTCCCTTCACCAAGATGAAATTGTAATACTCCAAGCACTCAGCAGCACCTATGTTTAATTAACTCCCTGTTCTGACCAGGAAGAATTGCTCTGCAGCAATCACACCAAGCTCAGATCTGTGAAAGAGGAATTTAGAGGAGAGATGCAATGATTTACAAGTGCAAGAAAGTATTTGGGATGAAAAATGATTTGGGGGGAAGGAAAGAGGGTAGGAACAAGGAGACCTGAGGACGGTGTGGCAGTTTCAGAGCTTAGTCCCTGGTCTTTCTCCTGTGATTTTGGAGCAGCAGTGAGAGGTAAGCCAGTTTTTCCACCCCAAGGCCATGCTTCGGAAGGGTGTGTGGGTGGAAGCAGAGCTGCAGAGCTGTGTGATTCCTCAAGGAAAGCGGCTGCATGCTGTCAGTGCTGTACCTGCACTGTGCTTGCTGCTCCTTTTGCATCTGCAGCTCACTCACATCTGCTCCAGCCAGCCTGAGAACTGATACCGATGGGTGACTGTGCAGCAAGGCAGTTTGGAGTGCTGTGATCCACAGCTCTAGCAGATGGACAGAAACCAACTTCCAGTCCTCCAGGGTGGTAAAGAGAAGCAAGGGCAGAGGAAGAAATCACTTTACTGAGGCAGCTCCCTGGCCTCATGCTCTCCTGTCTGCCGCCAGCATCACCTGCAGCTCTGCACAGGGTATAGCCTGCACCTCCTGCATGACATGACACAGCTCACTGTCTGCAGCAGCAGTGCAACCAGCCCTGGGTTTCTGCAGGGCCGTGCTGGGAGGGTTGGTATCACAGCACTGGCTACTTGCCTTGCACCCATCTCAGAGCTGCAGCCAGGTGTCCACATGGAAACATTGTGAGGAGGTGGAAAAGAGGGCACCTCATGTTCTCCACACTCTTCTGCTGATGACCTCAAGCTCCTACAATGTAGTGATGTGCACAGGAGCGTGTGCACAGACATGCTGGGAAGCAAGCGTGTGCCTGGGGCTCCGTCCATCACTGTCTGCAGGGCCTGGCAGGCATACCAGCTCAGACCTTGCTCAACAAGCACACGCTAAGAGTGGATAACAGAAAGGCAGTCTAATGAAGAAAAACGATTCAATTTCATGCTGGCTTGTTGCAATAACTTCTTTGCCATTTTCTCTCATTGCTTTCAACTCGGTGCTGCCTTTGGCAGCTTTTGCTTCGTGGTTGTGGTCTGTGCTTCATGTCTCACTGCTTGGGACTGCCTGTGGTTGTGGGGCCAGGATGGTGTCCTGCAGGGAGGTCTGTGGGCTGCTCAATGGAGCTGGAGGCAAGTCTTCTGTGAGCAGGTGGAGAACAAGGAGGGGCCAGAAATGGCTGTGCCAAGGAATATATGGAAGGTAATATGAATTGGAAGGAAAAAATGGCCAAAGGATGGACAAGTCTATTTGGATGGGAGCATCCTGACAGGGAGAAGGAGTGATTGCTTTGTAATGTGCTGTTCTCACTTTCTGCATAAAATACAACCTTTTTGTTTCATCTGCAAACCAGAGAAATAAAACTCAGCAAAAGTGCAAGGCCTTTGGAAAGATGCTTCAGGCTGTGCCAGGCCTCCTGGTGCCTACTGGGTGCATGCAGAAGTCCCACCAAGTGCTTTACTTGGACGTGCTACCTTGCTCTGCAGCAGCAGAGATGATCCACACTTCGTATTGGGTGCATTGGCTCAGAAATAAAAAAGCAGTAGACTGATGGTGTGGTCTGAGTTACCTTCCTGGCAAGGTGTTCAGAAAGAAGGCAGAAGAAACAAGTAAGCATGCATGTGTGAGGACCCAGCAATAGGCACAGCACGTTGGAAAGGCCCTGTCTTTGGGAAGTATTTGGGCCAGTAGTGATGGCCCCTTGGGTCCCCATTTGGGGCAGCAGCACTTCCTTTTGTAGCTCTAGTTATTTGTGTCTGAGGTGCAAAGTGCTGAGTCCTGCCGGCTGAGCACTCCACAAGGTGTTTCTTGGGGAGAAGGCAAAGCAATCCCTGGGTGTGGCAGTTATCTCAGAATCCCAGGGTTTGGAAGGGACCTCAAGAGATCATGGAGTCCAACTCGCCTTCTAAAGCAGATTCCCTACAGTAGGTCACTCAGGCCGGCATCCAGACAGGTCTTGAATATCTTCACAGAAGGAGACTCCACAGCCTCTCCAGACAATCTGTTCCAGTGCTCTGTAATCACCTTCTGAGCTGATAGTTAACACTCAATGTCCATAAGCTCCCTGTTCGAGTCTGGTGAGATTCCAGCTCTGTGCTTGAGCTTTTCAGCCAGCAGCACTTGGTAGAATACCCAGAGGAAGGGAAGCCAGCTGAAGACACACAGTGTGCGGTGGACTTCCCTCTCCTCCTGACCCTACAGCCTGCAGTGGTCTTATGGTCCTCAGCTCTCTGCCCACCCATTGGTGCAAAACACTTCTGTTTATGCCATGCTGATTTGTATACACGCCACTCGAGGACTGGTGTCACTCCCCTTCTCCTGAGAGAATCAGCCCCTCTGCTTTGCTGGAGCTGCAGAAGTTATCAAATCAGTGTTAAGTCCCATGCTTGAGCCTGCAGCCCAGGCTGCTCCAGAGCAGATCCTCATGTAGACTTTGTGATGCTCTGCCAAACCTGCCCAGTTATGTCAGTCGCAGGAGCCCAAGCGTGAGTCCTTCCACGGGACTCTTCCCCACTGTGTCCCATTTCACATTTCATGCATATGGAACTCAGCTGATGACACGAAGGCTGAACTGACAAAACTTTGAAATATTTTGTAATTCTTTTCTTGCACCATATCAGTTTGTTTCCTCTCTTGTGTACACAAAAATCATTTTATAGCTTGTACTGTCCAAAGACACGTATGTGTAGACACAAATGAAGTCTAACACACTTCCCTACTGCAGCAAACAACCCAGATTCCAGGTAACCCTTCAATAATCACCCAGTGGTTTGATGCTTAGCGCCGCTGGGCAGAAAATTCATCATCAGTGTTTATTTCTCATGTCTTGTGTTAGTAGGTGAGTGCGTCAGCACTTCTCAACCTGCACAGCTCATGTCTGGTTCTCAGAGCTCTGAAATCATTGCCAGAGCTAGGGAAAGCCAAGGGACTTCTTCTCTGAAAGAAGCAGTGTGAGAAAAGAGGTAATTATTTCTGAGTCCAGTAAAATACGTTGAGTGCTTTTGGGTGCAAGGTTCTCATTCTTCAAAAACAAGGGAAAAAAGAATGAGAGAAGTCAGTCTTGTAATCTTTTGGAGACAGAATACTCCAACCTTGTATTCTAAAATGTGTTGAAGATTTTGTGATGTAAATGGCACAAACCAGGTGCTCTCCAACCCACAGCAATGCACAGCAGCTGCAGCAGTGCGGGATGTGATTTTGTGCTGATCACTCCACCTTCATTCCCGTGGCACATAACCCAAAGGAAGGAGCCCTGGGCACTGTGAGATTGCACTTTCCCCCCATCTGTTCTCTTCATAGAGTCTCTTCTTTTCCAGGCTCTCCTTACTACTACAGTGCTGCAGCCCGCGGAGCAGCCCCACCAGCAGCTGCTGCCGCCTATGACCGCCACTGACCTCGGACCCAAAGCTTGAGCACTTACCACAAAATACTGCCTGGGACAACTGCATTGAGTCACCTTGCTACAACCATGCAAGTCAAGGAGGAAGAAAGTAAATAGTAGGAACAAGCTCATTGAAATTTTACTCTTAAGACTCTGAAAACTTAACGTTGTCATTTTCTTAATTCTGGTGATGTTGTCTGGGTCTGAAGTGAAACCAAGAAATAGGAGGACGTGGTTCTCCTGGCACATCATGCGGTCATAGAAATGCAGTAGTTTAATGTTGTTTGCAGCTGTCTGGCTACTGCTTTAATCGCTGTGGGTACCACGGCTGTAACTGGGGATAAGGAAGAGATGTGGGCCTCCCTGTGCGGGATAGCTTCCTCTTACTGCACACTGAGACAGGCTGTGAGACTCAACACAAGCTTTTTAAATTATTATTATTGCTTTTTTTTTTTTTTTGGTGGCAAAGAAAGATCAGTCTGCTCAATTTTACACAAGCAGCACTGTAAATACTTGCTTGTTTGTACTGCTATGAGACTGACTTTGCGTATGCAGCAACACTGTACAAGTCTAGGCTCAAAATGCATCTGAAAATGTGTTTTGAAACTGGTGCACTGATTCAAAGAATTCAATAAGCTTTAAGCAACTTTGAACCAGGTTAACACTCATTGTGGCTATCTTTCAGGCTGATGTTACTGCTGCACAGCATCCTAACCAGCAGCTGTGTGTGATCATGCTATATGCTGGTACCAAACTCATGGGCATCAGAAAGACATGGGCAATTTTGACACGGTTTGTTGTCTAGTATTCATATGTGTTCATTTGTCATCATAATGAGCACTGAAACAAATTCTCTGGTTTCAAGTTAAACTGCATTCAGGAAAGAATGATAGTAGACACCTTACCTACATCTCAGTAGGTTGTCTGCTAAAACCCAGTTATGGGCACCCTGAAACAAAGGGGGAACATACAGCCATACTGATTTCTGTGAAGTGGACTACTGACCAGGGTATACTGAACACATGGGCAGACACACCTGCTTTCTGAGGCGTGCTGGTCAGGGGGGTCTGTCCATTTAAATGAAGGTATCTCAAGTCATTCTAGTAACACTGAGGAGAGCAGTTTTGAATTCAAGACTGGAGTCACAGAGAACTTTGCCCCATTAATCCTGCATGTCTTGCCCTCCTACTCAAGAAAGGAGCGTTAAGGTGAGATTTCACTGAGTGCTCACTGCTTCCCGGAGCTATTGAAGAGAGCAGCTTACCAATGATCTGGTAAGCAATACACCAACCACTGCTTTTTCCAGGAAACAGGGAAAACTATCCCCCAGTGCAGCTACCTTTTGCCATGTGTTATGGTGTGCATGTGCCTAGCCACTCCTGGAAGCAAGGGAAGAGCTGACCTTGCTGAGACCAGACTTACCTGCAGCCTCTGACTGCGCACAGCATCGGCACTGCAAAGAGACCTGTCTGTGTTTGCCTGTGTCCTTCCCAAGGCTGAGAAGGGATTGCTGGTGGTGTCCCACGAATGAACAATCAAGTATTAAGTATTTGCTTCCAGTTTTGCAAGCATTTCTTCGAAATTGCAATGTCTGAGCTAACATTCCTCCCTGTTCTCCTTGCTGCCAGCACCTCGTGTGCCTGCCATCAGTGAGCACTGACAGCCTCCGTGTGTTCCCCAGTCTCAGTGGCATGTTTTGTACCTTTTCATGCTACAAACACACAACTGTTAGGTTCAGGTTCCATGCTAGATTTTCTGTGGTTCTCAAAAGCCATGATGATACCTAGGTTCCACTGGCTTAAATGGGTTCCCTAATCCAGAATTTAATTGTGTGAGCACGCGACAAACTTACCTGCAAGAAAAATTGTCCTTTTCATTTTTCAGCATTTGATACCTGAAACACAAACACGCACACACGTTTTTAATTGAAAAGCACAAAACCATGATTTACCTGGGGAATTTTCTGAAGCTTTGCTTTGGTGTCATACATACTGCATGGCTGTTTGCACCCCAGTGGCTGGCTGGGGTTTCTTCACCCGAGCTCAGCTGAGGTGTGCACACCTCATGCAGAGGCATATCCCCAAACAGCTGCCTTTTCTGTAAGCTTGGATAGTTAGAAGGTCATCTGACACTAGGTGAGGAGGCAAGAAACAAACATCTGACGGTACAACACGAGGGTGTGGGTCATGCCCCTAAAGCAAGGGTGGGGGTGAGCTACGCGAGCTGCAGGGATGCTACTTGACCACTGATGAAGCTGGTCTCAAAGCCTGTGCTTGTGCCTTTCCAGTGCAGGAAGAGCAGCTCCCGTTGATTATATGTATGTGCTTGCACCAGTTCTGAGTACTACCCAGCAAGCACTTTTTAAAAGCTTAGTTTTTCATTCCCTGGTGCTAAATGACTTATATGGCTTTAGTCTGGTTAACACTGAGAAGGCTAAACATAAGACATGAAATTTCAATAGATGCTATTATGCTCATGACAGAGACTCTTGTAGTTAGTCTATGGACTTATGAAAAACATGGTTTGTATGTAAGTCGCTCCGAAAGTAATGCCTCTTATTAATTCTCATGGAAATTACAACAGCTATAAAGAGCACAATAACACCTTTTGATAGAGCAGATTCTCAGCTACAAAACACTATCTTTCGACTCAGTCACCACTGTTGACCATTTTGAGTGGATGAGCTTATTTGGAGACTCTTCCTTTTGTGGTGTGACATCTGTGCACAGCTATTCAGAACATGGCTTGTCTTTCAAGTCAGTGCCACTACTGCTGAAACACAACACCCACTGCTTCGTTGTGCTCACATCCACTCTTTGGTTTCTGTGTATGTTCAGCAAGCATCTATGAATGTCAACTGCTGCAATTTTTTTTTGAGTGGAGGAATTCTGTGGCACAGCTTTGCTTCATATGTACTTCCATGTCAGACGTCATTTTGTAAGAGAGCCCCTCTGCTGCCATCTGTCTCATGGCAACAAAATGGAGAAGAATTTTGGTAGGAAGGTTCAACCTCTACTGTTATATCTCCAACATCCACCTCTGATGTCTTGGGCCAACATAATAATAATAAAACAGGAGGCTTTACTTTTGGAGCAACCGTCATACATTACAAGGATGCATGCCTGTGGACTAAGTGACCTAAGGTGTTTACACTCAGCCCTTGATTTGCCTTAGTATTTACATCAAGAATCCTTAAGGGTTGGTCCTTGGCCAGAGTTGTCCTGCACTGTGTGGTGGAGGCTTGCATCCACTGAGCCACAGCTTGGGTAAGAGGCAGAGAAGGTGCAGGTACACAGGCCTTGCACAAGTCCTCCCTCTGCCTGTGCATTCCAGCTCACAACCACAGATGAACCACAGATGCTCACTGTTGCACGTGTTCAGCAGGGACCTGTGTCTGGTCCACCTCCCTCAAGCACTACTGAGGATTCCTTGGAGGTGTGGCTCATTTGTGTATGCTCAGGTTGTTTCTCTGCGAGAAACACAAGCAGGATTTAGCCTGCTAAGCATGCATGCCATCCATACTTCCAGAAAACACACTTGTCAGTGCTTTGTATTTTTGACAGTAACACAGTCAACCATGTATATGCCCTCTCCAACAGCCAGCTACTCTGCAACAGGCCTGGCTGAGAGGATGTGAGCAAGGCGTTCAACGTGCATGCTGTGTTCACATGTGCTGGCTGCAGGGGAGGATGTAGAACAAAGTGGAGACTGGAAGCAAGTGGCCACTCGGTGTTGCAAAGAGATGGGAATGTGAGCAACGCCATTATTAATTTGCTGAGCCTGGTTCAGTTTTTCTAGATTAGCTTCATGGGTCATTTTCATACACCCAGAAACACTGGTGTTGGGGCACGGGAGGCGCTGCTGTTGTTTGGTTTGGGCAGGATGTCCTGTAGCATGGCACATCATTGCCAACCTCTTGCAGAACTCAGCCCCACAAAAGTGCCTTCAGGCAGTTCCACCGCTGAGCTCTTTTGTGCAGCTAGATTGATGGTGTTTCATGTAGTATGCATTCCAGCAATAGCTTGCCAGCTCCGACAGGCCTAAAAATAAAAGCTAGAGGTGGAGAGAGAAAATACTGACATAAAATTGAATCAATAGAAGCTGTGAACTGGTGTTACATGAATTGTTGAGGAAACCCTTGGTTCTGTGCTGTAAATGTAGCCATAAAGAAGTCATGCTGTGGGCATTGAGTTTAGCATTTATGCCCAAAGATTTGACTTCAGAGGCACTGTTGTAAGATGGCACCCATCACCTGCAGATTTAGACACAGGCCAAGACAGGATCCCTAGACTAAAGTCCTTGTTAGCTGTCCGGTCAGGAAAATGCTCCAGGATCTGGGGCCGTGAGGTCAGAAAGCAGGTGTTTCATTCAGAAACGTAGAGATGTCAAAGCAGAACTTTCAGGGATGGTGGAACTGCAGGCTCTGGAGAGAGCCTCGGTGCTGTAGATTGGTGTGAAGGAAACAGCAAAGAAGGACAGAGTACCAGGAGAAAAAAACAAAAAAAGAAAAAAGAACAAAAGAGAAGAGGCAAGCTGAAAGGAAAGTGAAGTTCATGAGAGAACTGCTGGACTTCTGTCATCTTTCTACATAACATGTATGTTGCAATGGCTGTGCACTGAGGAGGGTGCAGAGGAGTTCACTTGCTGCACTGCAGATTGCTGGCAGCAGCTTTCTGTTTATATGCATTCTCCCATACACTGCCTTGACTGATGGGACTGTATTCTACTTCAAAATTTTCTTTAGTTTTTTCTCTTTTACAAGTCCTTTATCATGAAAGAGAATTGAAGCCATGCTACGACGTTATTTCCAAGCATGACTGTCCAACAGTTCCAAGTGTTACGGCACACAGCCCCGATAACTTGTGGGGCTGGCTGCTGGGGCAATGTAGAGGCTTCAGCAAAGTGTCCTCCATGGTTCTGCATTCTTTCCTGCATGTTTATGCATGTATGTTTCCCTAAAACTGGGACATTGTGACCTTGGTTCATGATGGGAGCACAGCATTAAACTTGAC